TTCAGTTCCACAAGAAAGTATTTAAAATGCGGATGCGCCCTTCTATGCGATTTTCATGAATTCAAGACACATTGATATTGATTGTGTCTTTATAGTTTATACACATGCATATATATTACATTTATACTTCTACATTTTCTCTTTCTCATCCTCTATAACTATCGCCTTTCTATGCGATTTTCACAAATGTATTTGCTGCTTTTTAATCCTACAAGTTCAAATAACTAACTAATCACAACTATACCCTTACTGTGCGCCAATTTCCTCTCGTTTTTACTTGACCCAACATATATAGCCCGAATTCTTTTTTATAAAATCGACTCCAATTAGACCTGATGCAAAGTTCTTTCCCCTTTCCTTCCCTCCTCTCCATTATAAATTTCCTGCCCAACGCATTAAATTTGATTACTTTCCATTAAGCGCAGCGCCAAGTACCAAAATTCTCCGAAAAACTGGTGCCCCAATATACATGCATACATATTGGATCCATTAAGTTGGAGGAGCTGCTGTTAGCTGTTGGATCGCCATCAGCTCCTATGCTAACCATTGTCGCCATTTGTAATTGAGCCGTTTCAGCAAAGTCTTTGAGTCTCGTCGCAGCTTTCGGCCGCCTATTTATGGCCATATTTTGATTGCCGTTTCGCTGGCTCCAAGCAAGCAACCATCCATCCAGCCATCCATCCATTCTCCGGTAGCTGTGCAGCCTGTCAAGATGCATAAACTTTGTTTTCGTCACGCTGCCGCCTCGCCACAGACATCAGGCAACGTCATCCGCCAGCTTTTCAGTTCACCAGTTGTGGAACCATGTGGTGATTGTTTTTTTTTCGGATTTTTTTTTTACCTCTTTTGGGGCAGCAGCATTTTTTTTTATTATTATTAAATTTTTTTCGTCGTCTGCTGCCGCGAATTGAGTGAGTGTCGTCATCAGACATTTTGGCAGCTACTTTGGCTACCGAATAACATTTTTTATTTCGCGCACATATTTTTTCGACCTGGTCAACACATTGATGCAACTGGCAAAGAGACTGCTTTTTAGAAATTGACAGGAAATAATTTGCCTGGCGTTCACAGGTTCAAAACTAGACAGCGGGCAATTTGCAGCAGCATTCTTTGAAGTTCAACTGCAACTGCAACAACTTAATAAGCAGCTTGCAACTGGTAGATATAAGTAATTTATGCCAGCTCCACTGTCTGTTTATATGCATAATTGCCCACTAACAACAAGATGGAAACCAATAAACCAGGCAGCTGGACGAGACCCAAAGCCAAATGCACAGCTGTGCCGAAGTCTACGACGACGACGACGACGACGACGACGACGACGACGACGACGACGACCAAAGAGACCAAAAATAGTGAAAATATTTTTGTATTTTATGCGCCGGTCGGGTCGATATGAATAAAATGCAGAAAACAGTAAAATGCTTTCAACTATGCGAGTCCGAGGTACACACAGCAACAACAACAGGAGCATCAACAACAACAACAACAACATCTGCCGATCCGCAATTGCGGACTCCAGCGTCCAGTCACCCGACTCATGCGTGTGCCCATAATGGTTCGCAATTAATCAAAACCCAGCATCAAGCACTCAATTCCATATACTGAAGTTTGAATACCCTTTTTATAAAATATTTTCAATTTTCTATGCTACGCATTCAATTTAATTGGGTTATTCTCTGTGCTCGCTTAGATTCCTCTTAACATTCATCATTATTTTCGTTTATAAACATTTATAGTTATGCGCTCGTTTGATGAGTCTTGGTCAAGATAGATTTCAGTAGTCAAAATTTATATTTCTTTAAATGGAATAAATTTAACATACCCTTTCAATAAATTATTTAAGACTTATGCGTCCTACGTGTTCACTTTTTTAATCCTATGCGCTTGCTGGATATCTACACTCTTGGTCTAGATAATTATTATATTTTTTTGTTATTATTTATAAGTATGGTTTAAATTCTAAAAGCCTTTTATTAAAATATATTATATTTTCTATGCGCTTGCGTTCTCCATTTTTACTTATTTTTTTTTACGTATCAATATTTAATTATTTTAAATTTATATTTTTTCAACAATAGATTTATATCAGTTTACCCTTTTTTTATATATGGAAGAAACTGGTGATCTAAGTTTAGCTTTTAATAAATATATCAAATTTGTCTATTTTATCCACTAATTTTTTTAGTTTTCCAGCTTAGGCTTATAATCATGTGTGCCCCGTGGTCACTTTTTAATCATTACAAACTTGCTAAAAGATGCAATATACTTTCTTGAAGAAAAAGAAAACAAAACAAGATAAGTTTTTAGTCTATTCTATTTGTGCGCTTCTTTCTTGTGGCTGGCTTTTAGCAAATTTTATGGCTTGTTTACCTTATTAGCTGGCATTTCTGTTCCCTAAATAGCGCCTGAATAAAGTTGTCTTCTATCGAATCGCTCAAATTGATCAGCTATCAAATGTATAATTATGAGTTTTTCTTCGCGCTCATTTTCTTTTCTGTTTTCACGCTCAAAGCTTGCCATGTTGAGTGCTTTGTTCATTTTCTCAATAGCATAAATATTTCAGTTGCCATTCAATTTGTCAAAACATTTAATCAGCAAAACTTTTCTCACTTAAGCTGTCAGCGCATGGAAAACTTGCACACAACGTGGGCATATCGCTGCTGAACGAGGTGGACTGGGGGCAAATGGGGGACACCCAGCTCGGTGTTGAGTGGAGTCAAAATTGTTTGGCTACCGCAAATTTGTTATTTGTCAAAACATTTAAATGCCATTTGCGTGTACCACCGCATTTTGACAGCTGCCGATAATTTTTCTTGGTTCGCCACTTTTCACACCTTGCCCTGGCTTGGCCCACGGCGAGGCGAATATTTCTTCCTGACTTTCTAGACATTTGTTTCGACTCATTTAAATAATTACAGCTTGGTCGAGTTTTTCGTTAAGTGAAAGTGATCTTTTGTATTATTTATTGATGGCTTCAATTTGAAGCTGTAAACCTTTTAAAAGCTTATTGTGAAAAATTGCAAAGCTACTCAGCTTACCAGATCGGCCAGGCTTAGGTTAGTATAACTAATTGTTAATGAAACTATTTGCCCAGTCTTAAACCGTCTTTGCCAGACTTCTTTAAAACCACTTTTATCTACCTGAACGACAGTACTTATAGTATAATGGCGAAAATTCACTTATATTCACTTAAACTTTTGTTAAACTTTAGACATTTGCAAACTTATCTATTCCTTATACGTTTCACACAACCTACTCACAACATTTACGAATATTTTCAGTTTCTGCAAAAGTTTTTAAGTTGACTCGTTGAAAAATAAAACAAGTTAGAACATTGCAATTGAATGCAGCCGACTGCGTAATACACTTTACACATGGTATTTTTAAAGGTACATCTTAAACTCTATCCCATAAGCAATGACTCTAAAACTGTGACTAAAATTGTGTGAAATATATAATATTTCTGATTTGTGGGCAGGAATCTATGTTGCTCGAAGAGACTACAGAAAATAGTTTAGATCTTTGTGGCAATAGCTTTTAAATTGTGGATTCAAACAAATCACATCTGATTTTAAAGTGACTCCAAAACTTAGGCCCTTAAGCAGCGACTGTCAAATTGTCACTAGATGTATAGAAGACATAAATTTTTCACCATTTATGGGCAGGAATATAATAAACTCATAGAGACCATAGACAAATTTCCTATTAGAATTTAGGGCCAGTAACTTTAAAACTGTGGGCGACAGAGAAAACGCTCCTGATTTTAAAACTGTAACCGTCATGAAATGACTCACTATTAAATGTTCACGATTTATGGGGCGACAGAGGCCATGACAGAAATCAAAGAGACCATACTATATACTATATGTATATATGTATATATATATCAATTTTACGTATCAATATACTTTTAACTTTGGGCTTTATAGATTTTAGCACTTGATCAGTATCAGCACGGCTATATACATTGACACAAAAAAGCTGGACAGCTCCACAAAACCAATATACTCCTTTTCCTTTTTGTGCACAGAGTATAAAAACTTATATGCAATTTCACAGCAATTACGTCAACATTTTTCTTTGGGACAAACAAATGCGAAAACTTTTTGTTGACATTTGCCAAAAGCTGCACACGCTGACACCAACAACAGCAACAACAACAACAACAACAATAGTAGACACACAAAGTTAGAAACAGCAACAACTGCAATTTTGAGCTACCAAACATGCAAATCGCATACCAGGTCAACATAGCTGGCCCAGTCCAGCTGCTACCAACTGCGCTGCTGGTCAGCGATAAACATTATCTCGAAAGTTTCCTTGTTTTTGGCTATCTATCCGTGAGATACATTTGCAATGCGGGCCAATCAATATGGCCACAGACAGAGTCTGAGCTGAGACCGAGCTGAGAGCAGCAGCTGTTTGGTGATTTATGGGCCAATGTACGAGCGCTTGTTCTTGACTTGTTTCACCAATTAAGTTGATTGACATGGGAAAAACTGTCAAGTGCACTGAATATGAAGCAAAAAAAGCTGCTCGTGGACATACACCATATTGTTAGCTTTAAGCTGGAGTAAAAGCAAGCTTTAAGGGCACTTGACAGATTTTTTCAGATTACAATAAATATAACTTAAGGCTTAAAGTTTAACTATTCTTACTTAATATAGTTGTTAATTAATATCGGAGTTCATTAAATTGTATTAATGACATAAAAAATAACGTGATAATAAAATTAATCTTTTTTGAAATTTAAATGTTTTACGCCGAGCAAAAACAATAAGCTCCGCCAAAAAAATGTTCTTGATTCAGTTAAGAGATTAGTTTTCGCTTATAAATTCTTTTGAGTTCCATCAAACTATCAAACTTTAAAAAGTTTAAAGTTAGAAACCCAACCTGCTCTTAAAATAACTATTTTGACAAAACCAACCCCATTCAGTTGTGTTTCTTGAATGCTTTACAACACTAAAAAGTCATTATACAACACTATTTCTTTACAGATTTGCGCCTGCGCAACACTCAACAGGCAGACGAGGCGGTCAATTTCGCTGGGCTTTTCCCGCCGCTCTTCAATGTCGCGCCCCGCGCCACAATTACAGTGAACGCGACCTGTGGCCAAAATGGAGCCGAGGAATATTGTAAAATGGTGGATGCGTTTCCGCATCGTTCCAAATACTGCGGCACCTGTAATGCTTACAGCTCCGATCGTGCCAAGCAGCGACCAATTGAATCGCTCATTTCGCCCAGCGCCAGCTACGAGGAGAGCTGGTGGCAATCGCCGACACTGCAGGGTGGCCGTCAGTTTGAGTATGTGACAATCACCTTGGATCTGAAACAGGTGAGTCTACTAGTCTTGTCTGGTCTGGGTCATAGATAACCACCTCAGCAATCGCTGATCACATGTGACAGCCAAGCTGTGATCCAGTTTGTAATTAAGCCGCTGACTTGTCACTCATTTACAAGCGATTTAACGCCCGTTTCATGATCCATCTGTTCCCTGGGGCTTGTCGCCGATCATTAGACGCCGTGCGCTTGAAATATGATCGCAGCGAGCTGGTATCGAGTTTGGAACCGGTCACTAGGTATTACATTCTAATGCTCAAAATGGCCAACATAAATTTGCTTTGATGGAGCTTTGATTAAGTCATATCGTCTTACAGACAAGCCGCGACTTTCTTCAGTTATTAATGATGGCGACACTATTTCCGGGTTTTGGATATTGAAATAGATGAAAAGTATCTGAATGGGAGAGGTCTATCAATTTATCGATTATCCAGTAATAAAGATAAAAATTATCCTATCGATATTAGGAATGGCAGCTTAGCTTTTCTTTTGTCGTGGATACAAGCTTAGATAAGAAAATATTATTTTATATATATATTTAATGATTATATCGATAAATCCGGATAAATATATTACTAGAAAAACTACCCGGCATCACCCATGCCCGGAAACGTGCGAACTTCAGACAGAACTGCATTGCTGCTGAATTTGAGCCGTTGATCTCCCGCTTGCAGGTTCAACGCTGAAATACCTACACTTTGCCGACTTATGTCTTTACGTTCGCAGTGCACACTTACATTGCTGCGTTGTTGTTAAAATCATAGAAAATCATAGAGCTCTTGTACATAAAGTTGATATATCTAGAATTATTCAAGATTATGTCAATGCATTGCGCTCGAGTCTTCTGTAAATAATCCACAGAATCAAAAGAACGCCCAGACGTTTTTAAATTAATATATCATAAAGTCAAAGAACCCCTCAATTACGTTACAGCTCTTTAAAGCCGAGTTTGTGAATAAACATTGTATTAAATACATTTATATACATGTATCCGATGGCAACAACTTCCCATCACATCCCATCATTTCGAACTTTGGACAGTTCCATCAACGAAATGCTTTAAGAAAATAACAAAAACTGAAAAATAAATCAAAAATTCTGTGACAGCCTGAGCATATCTCTCGTTCATGCAGAATCAACGTAAAGAGAGCGTGTAAATTTTGACACATGCCGTTGATGTGTTGAAGTCTCTCAGCCCCTGCCCTTTCAATGGAAATACCATTGACTGGCGCTGCCCTCTGCCAACACCATATAAACAAAAGTCATGGGAACATTTAAAAATCGCAGAGTTTTTTGGTATTTGTATTTTTATTTTTTTTATTTTCTGTGACATTTTAAAGCAATTTTTGTCGGCCTGTCGCCGTCTGACCAAAAACGCAGTTCAACATGTGTCAATTGTAGTTAAAATTGAAAATTGTCTCTGAACGTAAACTGACATCTACATAGAGCCCACAACGCATCCATAAAAGGTAATTCGATTTTACTTATTTTATTTTATTACTGTATTTTTGTCTGCGCAAAGTTTTGTACTCTGGAGAACTCTAGAGAACTGAACAAAGTTAATTAGGGTAGGATCCAATTTAAATATTTATATGAATCTGTGTTGGCGAGTTGTGGCTCCCGTTCGTAATTTATTAATAACTCTTGGAACGCATGGTTGTCATAAATCTCTCATACTTGCAGGCATATGCGAAAACATTGTTTTAATACCCTTGCACAGGGTACAATAGTTTAATAATGAGTTGTGTCACGTTTCGAAAGAATTACCATAGTTATTATTATTCAAAACAAGAACTTTTGTATTATGAACTTTATAAACCTCGCTTTGCTCTTATTTGCTTGCTTCACACGTTAAAATTCGCAACGAGTTTAAGCTTGAAACGAGGGACAAGGTGTCTGCTAACCTGCAGTCGACAATATTATCCGCCGATGATAGAACCAGCGTTTTCTCGACTTTCCGCCCACATTTTATATTAATTTACTTCAAGAATAACCACCCAGCTTTAAACTTAGTTAAATAGCTGATATAATATTCGAAATATAACTGAAATATATCACACATATGCTTAATATATGAAAGGGTATTTAGGCTTCGGCACTTTATGATTAATTGTTGTTTCTTGTTTTTAATTTTAAATCAGCGCCCGAGTCAGAGTCGGCAGTTCTGTGCTCCGGTTCTCTGCACGTTTTAATTAAGTGTATACTTCCATAGTCTTGGATACGTCTTGGTCTTGACTGTATCTTTGTCTTGTCTGCCGCGGCATATGGCAATGAAAGAATTATATCAAAACATTGAGAAAAACAACAAAATCTTCGGAATCGGGGGAGGATTTCAACATTGGCAACGAGGCAAATGATGCCACTCGAGTGCAAACTGCACTTGAAATGTCAACTTTGTGTCGGTTGATGCCAAACAGATGATATTTTCAGCACTTAATTGCCATATAGTAAAAGTTCACGATAATCATGCAGATTGTAATAATGATGAATAATGAAAAATAATGATCATGCGTTGGCTAAGCAGCTGCAAGTGCGGAAATACAATACTTTGTTGCTTTTCGTTTGCTTCGAGCCGCAATGGAATTTCAATTAACACTTTTACGCACTTTTAGCACTCAATGAGGCTTTTAAGATTCATGAACCGATTGTTGGGTGGGCTAGATCGATTAGCATTGGCCAAATGTGGATGTAAACAATGGAAGGCGTTAGGAAAACATGAAAATTAAACTCACCGTCTTTACAGTAACAGTTGTTTATTCCAAAACATATTTTTCCAAGGTCTTTTTTTATATTTCCCTCCTTTGTTTCAGCAATGCCAAAATCGATTCCTTATTTACATCTAGAAAAAAATATATTTTTATTACATTAATTTCATTTAATATTTCATTAAATTAAATATTTTAATCTTAATTTATAATTGAAGAACTATAGCTTGGAAAAAATCATAACAAAATAAAAAAAAAAAAATTTGAGGAAAAGATATAATATAATCATGGAGAACAATTAAAAAATAATTGATAAGATTTAATAATAATAAAAGAAACTGGCAAAAGAAAGGCTTTATATATTATTATGTTCATGAAATATTTGATTATGAAATATATTTAAATGCACCAAATTTGTGATTATAATAGAGAACAATAATAGTATAATTTTTGCGATTTAAAACCTCCAAAAAGCACACATAATTAAAGACACGCTGGTGCATAAAGCACATAATGTGTAGTTAAAGTAACTAAATTCTTAAAGAGATTATCTGCAATTATATTAAGCTAATAACTTAACATAGATGACAATAACATTTGAACATTTCTTAGATACTTATAATAACGATATAATAAAATACTCTAAAGTAAATCCCTTGACTAAACAAAAATAAATGACATTCATTTGCTATAATATGACCATGGAGGACCATTAGCGCAAGAAAGCTGAAAGGGATTAAGTAACTTCTACCAATTGTAGTTTAAAGTATTCCCCCAAAACTCTCTCGTGTAGCTGACTTGTTAGCCACCCCTCCGCACAATCTTCAGCTGCCCGTTGTCACAGGCAATTAGCACTCGTTTCCATTTCCATTTCCTATTTCCAAACCTCCCGCCGTCCCGCTCTGGATCGCTTAATTTAGTTCCATGTGCTTTGGCTGGAAATATTTTCGACATTTGTCACAACTGTTTAAAAACACATTAGAGCAAATCTTTTCTCTCTACAGACACAGACGACAGAGCATACCGCGCCAAAGAAATAGAAACCAAATTTATGACCCCGGACAAAAACTTGACATTCGTTCTTGAAGTTGCTTATTTTGTTTTTTTCATGGGCGACAAAAATGTCGAAGTCGCGCGACTTGATTTCAACAATTAGACTAATCGAGTGATTTACAACAACAAGAACGACAACAGTAACAACAACCAGAGCGAGACAGGCATGTGTCAACGATTTGACAGCTTAAAATATTTTTCTCGCTAGTTTGGTAATGCCTTTTGCAATAGCCGACGAAGCCGGCCGGAAAGCTGCTTGCAACTGCCAGTCAGCCGGCCAGAGAGTCAGTCAGTCAGTCAGTTTGTCTGTCAGACTGTCAGAGTGTCAGAGTGTCTGTCAGCTTGGCTTGCCGCACGCTTTGGCCACAACAATGTCTAGATTTATGCTTCAATGGCTTTGGGGCGCGCGTGACTAATTGAAAGTCTAGCGAGAATTCTGGGAATTGCGATAAATTCAGCTAGCACAGTGGCTTTCAAACTGTAAATAGCTTTTAAAACGCTCTGGTTTCAGTTGGCAAGATTATAGAAATAATATAAAAATGGCAATTAGTTGAATATAAATTTTACATTCTTATAGAAAGTTTAATATAATTATAGTTTAATAAATTTTAGTCTGAAAATCGAATTTGAAAATTATTTGATGTAACACTAAAAATTGGTTTATGGTCACAATTAACTTAAAACGAGTTATGAAAATATCATAAAAATTTTAAAAATACAAAAGTGGAGTAAAAATTTGTGTTTGCCATAAATTCACTTAAGTTAAGAAATCTAGTTTTAATATTTTTTATTTTTAAAGTGGAAGAATGAGGCAACAGTTCAACACAAAAATATCTCGTTGCAAAAATGTGAAATCAAAATCAAAACTTCGATTAGAAATATTTCAAAAATTACAGTTGACAATATTTCAAATTGTTTTAAGCAGAAAAAAACTTTGTACAAATCCCTTACTTTTTTAAATCTTAAGCAGCTTGAAGTACAATTTTTTTATTGATTTGTGTGCTTTTAGAAATGCCAATTTTTTGTTAATGTTTGCCAAGCGGCAACATCAACAAGCTAGGCAAGAGAGAAAAAAATGTGTTTCTTTTATTTTTATAGCCATTTAATTGCTTCATTAAATTTAGCCAAATTTGGCCAAAGTTGTTGCTGTTGTTGTTGTTGTTGGCGGCGGCGGCGCCCGCGGCGGCGCCCGCGGCAACTTGGAGGCTTTGGGGCAGGCTTTACGTAACTGTAATTC